AGGTGATGACCGTGAGCGCTAAAGAACAAATAATAGTACCAGAGAAGAAGAGGACAAGCATCATACAAACCCCACAGTTTCCAGTCGTGCCCGGAGACTTTGATGATGACTGGCTTCAGCTTTTTGACAAAGTTCCTTATGAGCAGAAGAGTTTCCCATCAGGTACAGAAACACACATGCCTAAACACTATCACAAACATACAGCAACAAAAATACAAATGACTGGATTGAATTGGCTTAAAAACCACTTACTAATACATTTTAGCATTGTATACCAGAATAATTATCAAAGAATATTAAAACAATCATGATACCTTATGTGTTAAAATGTACATATACAACGTTACTGTAAACTGTACAATTAAAATGTTTTTACTCAAGACTACTAAGAATCATTAATACATGCTTCTCATAAATGCAAGTTTTACCTGTTTTAAATAAATTTAGGGTACAAATCATTTCACAAGCTTCTCATGATGCAAACCCCAGTGTTTCCTGTGCTTCTTTCAGATGTCAGAGGCAGAGATTTTGAGGTCCATGAACCCATCAAAGACCAGAGAGTTCAGATAGTGGTGGAGGAGCAGATGAGAGAGAAAAGACTGATCACTGAAGAAAAGAGAGTGATCATTGATGAACACAGAGAGAGAGCTGACGTTGTTGCGCAGATGGTTTCTGTTGGGGTTCGGGAAGTTCACGATGACTGGTTTGAGCTTTTGGATGCAGCACCTCCTGAGATGAGGAGCGTCCCTTCAGGTGATTACAAGAGCTGCATGTCTGATTTGCTTCAGGTGAAAGACATATTATAATTAGTAAAACCTTTATACATTTGATCTACAGTTGCAGTGGCTACTGAAGAGCGCAGGATGAAAGAACAGGAAGACAGCAGAGTGAGACAGCAGCAGATGAGAGTGAGAGAGGAGGAGGAGAAGAGACTAAGAGAACTAGAGAAGCGAAAACAGGAGCTGGAATTAAGAAGAGCTCAACCAGCTGTTACTGTGAAGACAGAAGCACAGCCTCAGATTGAAAAAGATGACGACTGGTTCATTCTTTTTGATGTTTCACCAAAAGAAACAGGTATGTACACATTTGATATTTATATATTTTTAAATATGCACTACTGATCAAATGTTTGTGGTCAGTAAGATTTTTTTTATGCTCACTAAAGTCAAACATACAGTAAAAACAGTAATATTGTGGAATACTACAATTACTTTTTTAATAAAACATTTTTTTTTTACTATTTTAATATAATTTTTAAATGTCATTACAACCATTACTCCAGTCTTCAGTGTCAAATGATCCTTCAGAAATC